CTAAAATTGGAAATTAATTATTAACACATACGAAGAAGTAATCAATTTATGGAAATTATAATTTTGGGATGGTAAAATTAATACTAAGATAGATACCGGAGTTTTTGTTACATATAAATATTTGCTAGTGACTCGATTACAATGTAATGTGTGTTCATACTTTTTTGTAATATAATGACGCTCAATGAGTCAATGCCTCCACATCCGTTGAGGCAACCTTGGTGAACTTTCTCATAAATCTTCAGGAATAAACTTCGTACCATTCAAGCTAAGGAAGATGTCTATCGGTGGTCTTAAATGATCTCCATTTTTGTTATGAAGACAAGGTTAGGACCAATTTTCAAAAAAAGACCGAACAAGTCTAGTCGTTTATAATAGATGTCCTTTCAAAAGACCAGTCTAGATCGACGACCGGTTAGATCTTTTTGCTCTTCTCTACTCTTAAAGAAAAATTTAGGGGTAAAAAATATAATTTTGTGATCTCATAGGAACTAAAACCATGGTCAACAAAGATTCTAAATTATTGGGAAGATCACTTGAAAGTACTTTATTACAAGGATCATTTTATTAAGTGCTATTACATACACTTTCCCCATAAAAGGTCTTCACATTTGACTTACATATAGATTAAGAAAAGTAAAATTATATAGTTGAAAGTGATGCAAAGGAAAGAAATTTTAAGGACCACAAAATCATTTCTAAAAATGAAAAATGAAATCTATTTTTTGGGACGAAAGAAGTACGTATTCATTTAGAAATACCAAAAGTAAAATTTGTTAGCTCTACCTAAACCCAACCCACTTATTTTGACGTGTCAAATAAGTCTTTCAAGATTAGACTAACTTGTTGTTGCAGGAACACACCAAACCCAATCTTAGTAAACTTGTTTGAGCAAGCCCACGACATTTAAATTGAAGTCTTTTAGACAAAATGTCAATGATAAGTGTATGTATTGATTCTAGTATCCCAACACTTCCAAAACATTATGTTTATCATCTAAAAGTATTTTATGAAGTGTTTGATAAAAAACTTTTTCCAAAAGGTTGAGACCCATCTTCTTCATTCGCACAAACCAGTGTAATATAAAATAGCCTGTAACGATTGTCCAATACGGTCCCATGGTCGCTAGGCATAGTACCACCTCTCTCTCGAACCCCTACTTCAAAAATTGCAGTGTAAAACAGTCTGTAACGGTAGTCCAATACCGTCCCACGGTCTCTTGGTACCACTTCTTACTCGAAACTCAACTTTTGAAACATTCGAGTAAGTAGTGGTATGTCACTAATGGTAGCTTACTACCGCCCCACGGTAGGTCACTACCATTTGACGTTAAGACATTACCGTCCCGTCTTACCGTTAGAGTACGAATTTTGAATTCCAATCACCTTTGACCAGCTTCAATCACACCCCAAAACGATCACTAACGTTAAAATCTCAAACTTTCACCTCATAAACACTATAAATACCCCTCATAAGCTCTTCACAACATACAACTAAGCTCTCTAAAACCTTTTTACTCTCTTAATCATTCTTTCATCCCAGTTTTTGTGTTTTATAGCTCTTGCTCTTACACTTATCATATTCAAAACTTTTTTGAGTTTTGGCTTTCGATTTTACACATATCACACACAAGGGGATGCTAAATTTGATACCTACACTCTCTGTAACACCCTAATCTGTTAGAATCTGTATCCGTTTTCAGACTAAAGTATAAACTTGATATTTGTAAACATTAAAAATGTTTCAGACATTTAAAAACTTTATTCCATAATAAATTACTCAGAATAATAATGGAGTATTTTAAAGTTGCGGAAGCTTAATAAATCACAATTACAAACATAATAAATTTATGGGAGAATTACTGTCATAGCACTAATATGTGCTTAAAATACCCAATATAGCACTGCTATGAGATTTTGGAACTCGTGTGTATGCAATTCAAAATTTGTCCTTGCATTCCACTCTGCTAAAAAAATGTGTTTAAGTTGGTATAAACTTCTAGAACATGGGCATAAGACATTGTCGTCATACCCAATATAACATGTACCCACACTACTAAAGCATGATCATTCTACACTGTCAAAAAATGTGTTTAAGTTGGTATACACTTCCAGAACATGGGCATAAGACACTGCCAGAAAGTGTAGTTAAGTATTATGAACCATAACGCACTGTCCAAAACATGTAATCGGTTGGGATAACATTTGTAAAATCCTACTTATTGACAAGGGTTGTTTGCCAAAGGCTCGGTTTGATTTCTTGGGAAGCCAAACACATATAGTGAAGATTAAATCCTTAGGGATGAGCTTTAAGGTACTGGAGCAGAGAGTATCCAACCGGTATAGATTTGCTTGTGTCGTGTTTTTGATCTCTTTTATTTTCTCTCTCCTTTTCGACTTCATTATTTCTATGATTTTTTTATTTTCTGAAAAGCTTGTAAGCACCCTAATTCACCCTCCTCTTATATGGTAACCGACAATCAAAATTTGTTAATCTTTACCAAAACATATTTAACTATAATAAAAAATATTTTATTAAATTTATCTTGACTTAGAAATGTAATAAGAGAGACTAAAATGAGTAATTTCTCCTTGAAATACTTCAGTATCCATTTTGTATTTTTTAAGATGAATATCTATGTAATGTTTTAAAAGGAATTTATACACACACACTTTTCAGAACATTTATTAGAAAAATTTGTCTTATATAAATGACTAAAATGTAGTGGATTTCCCTTAATAAGATAAATATGTTTTACTACTTTTATGTCACATAATTCCATATGATCTACTATATATATTCTCATTAGCAACAAGTGTTAGATAATGACCTATTATTTCAATGACTATTCAAATTGTTTTTAATAATGTTTTTTGCTACTTGAGTTGTGTAATCAGTCATTTTTTCAAAGACATGACATTTTAGAACGTTTCATTGTCAAACATTAGAGTAGAAAGATCTAATCCTATTTAGGAAAAAGTGATATATTTTAGTTTCATTTGCATAAATTACCCCATTTATTAAGAACTTCTGCAACATTATAGTTTCAAAAATAAAAATAATGTTTTCATATTAAAAGGAAGTTAAATTATACTCATTAAATTTATGTACTACGCATTAATATGTTTAGTTGAATTTGAATATATTCGTTTTCAAAGTAACGAATCAACATAACTTGTCATTTGTACATTTTTCCAAGTGAATAAAATGATTTTAAATAATTAAAAAATAAAAATTTAAATACACAAAATGTAAGTTTGTATCCAAGTTATTTCTGACTCGAGTATTACTCATCAAATATATACATATTCTCTTTTGTTTTTGCAAGCACATATCATTATTTTTCAATTTTAAATACACTCCCTCGTGAGAATTAAAGTATAGAGTACACCGGCTGTACGTTTTTATATACCCCTCCATCCCGAAATAGATTACAATATTCCCTTACATTTTTGTCTCAAAAAGGATTACAAAGTCAATAACTTTATAGTGATTTGACTCTTTTACCCTCCCTTTTCTTTTCTGCCAGCCACTATTCACACTATTTGGGGGGATTCGGGGGGTAATTTGGGAAAAAAAATTTTGATTTGACTCTTCCTTAATTTCAACTAAAAGGGAATATTGTAATCTAAAGTGGGATGGAGGGAGTATAAGTATATCTGACAAATATTCATTTTACATTAACAGAATATTCATTTTCAATCATAGTGTTCATTATGAAGCATGTTCGATATAGTGTTCATCGAAAACAACGTAATGCTTATTTTGACGCAACATTATATTCATTTTGAGACAACGTAGTGTTTATTTCGATATTTTTTTTAAATTACATGTTTCTCATAACATATTCAAAGGGAGGTGCTCAGTACATCTTGCTCTACCATATAATTTGCTATCCGTCTCTTCTCCGTTAACTTTGGTGTCTCTTCTCCATTAACTTTGGTGTCAAAAGATTGTTTCTACGTAAAAAAAAAAGAGTAAATTCCATCAAATGTCCTCGATTATAGGTCATTTTACATATTTAATCTATACATATTAAATATCAATAATTTAGTCCCCAATTATTATGTATTTTTCTATAAACAATCCTTTCTTAACATTTCCGTTAAGAACATGGGTAAAATTGTATATTCACGCACCTTATTCTCCAATTAAGCTTCATCCTTTTTCTCGTACTCATTTCCAAACCTGTTGCTGAGTTTGAAGCTCTAAACCCAAACTGAAACGATCACTTGTCTCTCAATTGTTCATCTTCTTGGTGGATCCCAAAATTGAAACCAATAACCTTCATGGATGAATTTTATGGATTAGTCTTAGGAAATTGCAAAGAAAACAAATTTTAAAACGCATCCGTGAAGGTTACTAGTTTCGATTTTAGATTCCACCAGGAAGAAGAACAATTGAGAGAGTAGGAATGATTTCGGTTTTGGGTTCAAAGCTTCAAACTTAGTAACGGGCTTAGAAAAAGAGTGCGAGATGATAGATGAAGTTTAATTGAGAAGACAGATGAGCATGAATTTACAAATTTATCCACATTTTTAACGAAAAATATTCATAAAAGATCATTCTTGGAAAAGAATATAATAATTGGAAACTAAATTATTAATATATAATATTTAGAGACTAAATATATAAAACAATGCATAAATAATCTGGAAAACTTTTATGAAATTTAGTGGAAGGGGCTTTAATTAGCCAAGCCTATGCATTCGTTGTGGGTTCGCCTTTGAGAGTGGAATAAGTAGTACTCGCTCCGTCCCAATTTATAGTGTCTGTTCACTATTCACAGGGTCAAACTTCATTTACTTTCTTTCTCTATTTTCGTTAGCAATTTGAAAAAATAAAGTACTATTGTCACTGCTAGTTTTGTAGATCTTTTGATGTAGTATTTTCGTTTTTTAACTCTGTACTATTTGCCATATAAAATGATTTGAAAATAATTTCAGTCAAATATCGTAAACCGAAACAGACGCTATAAATTGGGACTGAGAGAGTAACTGCTAGATTATAGATAGAGACAACCGCACTTCAAAGCGTCAAAAAAGATTCTGCAAAAGAAAGAAAAAAAACAGAGAGCGGAGAAAATGGCGAAAGACAGGAAGATCGGAGTTGCCATGGATTTCTCGAAGAGCAGCGAAGCCGCACTGAAATGGGCCGTGGACAACCTGGCTGACAAAGGCGACACTTTCTTCATCGTCCACATCAAACCCCATCTTCCTCACGAATCTCGCAATGACCTCTGGTCTCAATCTGGCCCTCGTAAGTTCCAAACTCCAAAAGCCCTTTAATTTCCTCATTTTCAAACTCATCTCTTTATTCATTTCGATCTATCTTCTGTTCAGCTTTGATTCCTTTGTCTGAGTTTCGTGAGCCCGAGGTGATGAAGAAGTACGATGTCCAGACTAACATTGAAGTTCTTGATCTTCTTGATACGGCATCTAGGCAGAAAGAGGTCTTTTTTCCTCCCAATCTGACCAATTTTAACTTCCTGCAAATAGATCTTTCAATGGGTTTCTTTAAAAAAGTTCACTTTCCCCTTTCTTTTTTTTTTGGAAATAATGAAAACAATCCGATTATGTGTAGATAAACGTGGTTATAAAGTTGTACCTGGGAGATGCAAGGGAGAAGCTGATTGAATCAATTGATGATCTGAAGTTGGATTCTTTGGTCATGGGCAGCAGAGGGCTTAGCACCCTGCAGAGGTTAGTTCTATTTCTTACCACGCCATTGCTCTATCGACACAACCAATCTTTTCAGCAATTTCCCCACCTGCATAAAACTCTAATTCGATCCGGAAGCCTGTGAGCTTCTGAATATAAATTATGTTCTGTTAGCAGCGCAAGATTAGATGCCATTTATTATTTGTTTCCTATTGTGGAATAGGATTGTGATGAGAAAAGAATCATGGTAATTCCTAGATACCATTTATATGATTTGTAAATTGATGAAAGATTTGTTTCTTTGAATGGGCAATGGGTGAGGCAGGATCATAATGGGGAGTGTGACGAGCTATGTATTGTCGGATGCAACCTGCCCGGTGACGGTTGTCAAGCATCCAGATTTTCACAAGAAGTGATCATGGTGTCCAAAGATGAACAAGATGGGAGCTTTTTTATATCACTATCTTACTTATACTTATTTGTGTGTGCTGTCTATCTAAAACTAAATGTGCTCCCATCCTCCCAAAAAAAAATAAAGTGGTACTGGGAATGATGTAAAATAAAGCTAAGAGTAAACCAAAATGGTGTATCCTATTTGTACACCAAAGCAACACAAATATTATGTCTGTGATCCGATTCACAGACACATAATGTCTGTGTTGATCTGGCATACAAATGGGGTACACTATTTTTTGGTGTACCCCTAGCATGCCCCGATGATGTAAAGGAGATTGATTGTGTTTGGTATCCCCTGCCCTAACCATACATAACTCTTCCACTGCAATGTTTACTTATGGATACTTTAGAAAGCTTGTAGACTCAGTTTCTTGTATTCTTGGCATCAACATTTCGTCTCAGATGACTCCCACACCTTATTATACGTTTATTGGTTCCCCTCTCCGAACTTTGTGTCCGAATGCAAGGTCAGATGACCCGTTTTTCTTCACAAAGCGGCCTATATAGTTGTAAACCACATTGTCGAAACATTTCTCAACCAGATAATGAATCAATTTTACTACTCCGTAGTATCTTATTTGTCACGCACCCGCACCTGTGTGACTTGGAAGATCAAGGGTCTCATGATAATATTTCCAATTTTTCATGACAATTACGGAGTATTTTTTTTAAATATTAAGGAGTAATTGTCATATTTAAAGGAAAAACAGTTGTGCGGCTCTTGATATTAGTACCCTTTTGTGGATATTTGGTGAAGCCTAAATGAGATTCGAATATCTTCCGATATTTCAACCCTAGGTGTTTTGTTATCTTTTTCAACCGCCTCTAGCCTGTTGCTGCCATGCCCTCCCTCCCCGCCCCGCCAGCCGCATGCTGACGTCGGTCACCGTACCCTACTTTGCTAGCCACCCACCGTTGGCGGTGTCTTGCTACCGCTGGCCATGCTTTGCGTGTTACTAACACTAAATCTCTCTAAACACTTTTATTTCAGAATTCTAAACTCATGCGTAGTATTATGTTTCTAAATTTCAAAATCTGTATCTTATGAACACTGGTTTGCCCAACAAAAGTTCATAATGAAATCCTACCTCATGTGGTGAAGTTTATTTCAAAACTGGATAGTGTCAATGTTCATATCATAAAGTAAATAAATACTAGGTGAATAAAGACATAACTCACCATTTGTAGCGTATGAAGTACAAAATGTTGGATGATGATATTGATGGGCATCACTTTACTTTTTGAAAATTCAAATTATTATCAAATGCACATTACACATACGAACCAAAGCTTTAATGTGAAGTCTAAAAGAAAAAGAAAAAAAGAGTACTCGGCCATTTAAATTGGGGTACCAGCAAAACCCAACAATAGTTCAAATTATATTCGACCAAACACTTTATATTACATTAATTTAAAAACATTCAAACAGAACACACCCTTTCAGTCTACAAGAATTGTCTTTTCCCTCTCTCACTCTTTAAACACGTTAACCACATGGACCTTGATTGTAGATGAAGCTTCTATGCCATTGCATGATTCCTCTTGCTTGCTTTATTGGTCCTATGAATATATACACCAGAAGATGTATGCCATAGTACAGAATACTGGTTGTAGTAAACAGCTCTGTTGATTATTGGGGTCAAGAGGGAAAGATGGAACCTTTGGGCAAAGTTTTTGAAGTGGAATGGGAACTGGATGAGGATGAATTGAATAGAGGGGAGAGGAATCGCAGTTCTTCGAGTTCTAACGGTTCTTTCTCCGAAGAAGAAAGTACTCGTAACGGAGAGCTCAGCCCGTCCGAAGATTACATATCTTCAACAGTAACACTTGATGCTGTTAGGGAAAAGCCTCCTCATCAGATGAAGCAAAGTTCATCTTCACCTGGTAAAAATATGTATATTTTCACTTCTGTTTTTTTTTTGTTTTTTTAATGTTTCTTTTGCATGTTCGGAATCCAATCAATGGTTTGGAACGCAGAGGTTGTTGAGATGCTTAAGGAAACGTTCTCAAAGTTGCTCCTCGGAGAAGATATGTCGGGTGGCGAAAAGGGTGTCTCTGCAGCATTGGCTGTTTCGAATGCCATTACTGATCTTTCTGGTATGCCACAGTTTGTTTTTTTAAAAGATCTAATCTTCCATATGATCTATCAAAGATTTCTACTTCTTTGAACAAATCCTTCTTCTTCTTTGTTAGCTGCAACTTTTGGGAAAGTATGTAGATTAGAGCCTCTGCCTTCTGAGAAGAAGCTAACATGGAAGAGAGGAATGGAATGGCTTCTTAGCGTTAGCGATTACATTGTGGAGTTGACACCATCCTTGCATACATTCCCCGATGGAACCAAACGAGAGGTAATCTTGCATACATTCTTCAAGTACAGACATTAGTAAAATAGATTTTTGGGCTAAAGACCTTGTGCTAGGGCGGCATAACTATGTCTCACTCAAACAAGAGATCACATGTTTGAACTCCAATGGAGGCATTGACATTTTGTACTTTAATAGGTTGAAAAAGTATGTATGGACGACAGATACTAGAGTTAAATAGTATTCAAAAAAAGTTTTTGGATGAGCTCATGACACTTTCCTTTGTATATATAGGTAATGACTTCTAGACCAAGGCAAGATCTCTACGTCAGCCTCCCCGCGCTTCTGAAACTGGACAACATGATTATAGTAAGATAAATGGCATACCATCTTGCCACAAAGTATCGTGACAATCAAGAACAACTGAACAAGAGTTCAAATCCGGTGTGTTTTTGTTGCAGGAAGTTTTGGACGGCTTAGAACATACAGAGTTCTGGTATGTTGATCAAGAAGGCGTCTTGGCCACCCAGAGTCCGCCACCAAAGGAGAAATGGTGGTTGCCTGTCCCTCGAGTCCCTACGTGTGGTCTCAGCGGGAAAGCAAGAAAGCAGTTGCAGCAGATTAGGACCTGCACTAATCAGATCCTGAAAGCAGCAATGGCTATCAACTGTTGCACTTTAGATGACATGGAAGTCCCAGAATCATATTTGGAAACTCTTTCTAAGGTGAAATACTACTCCCTACATATAGAATTTTGTTCAATTATAAGAATTAAGGTTATAGTTATCTTGCATTTTGTTTTTTGTTGTTCCTAACATAACATTGCTGCAGAATGGTTACACTAGCTTAGAAGAATTCATCAATGGATACAACTTCTCCGATCAATTTTCACCCGAGTCTTTGCTCGACTGCCTCAATTTGTCTTCTCAACGTCGGGCTCTAGAGATCGCTGACCAGTTGGAGGCTTCGATACACATTTGGTGCCAAAAAACTAACTCAAAAAACTCGAAGCTATCGTGGGAAATGGTTAAGGAGTTGGTGGTTGATGCAGATAAGAGAGAGGTGTTTGCATATAGGGCTGAAAGTCTTCTCACCTGCTTGAGACTAAGGTTTCCTGGGCTTCCTCAGACAATGCTGCACATGAGCAAGATTCAACATAACAAGGTTCTAATTATTGTCCCTTTAAGGGTTCATTTGGAACACAGAAAATACTAGGGAATTCAAAGTATGAAGGAAAATATAAGATAGATTAAAACTCAATAATGACCTTCCTTCACATTTTCTCGGGATCCGAACATACCCTAAATGATTTCATTACCTGTTTGTAGTAAGAAATTTGCAGACTCACTGAATCTTTTTCTTCTTCCTCCACAGGATCTTGGCAAATCTATACTGGAGAGCTATTCAAGAGCCGTGCAGAGTTTGGCATTCAACATTGTGGCACGCATCGATGATCTTCTTCATGTGGATGACTTGACCAAGCCTTCAGATCCGTTCATGTCCAAATCTCAGAAAAGCCCGAGGAAGGCTTTGACTGATTATTTGGCCATTGATTCTAAAGGCGATCATGCGAGTGATGATCTTGAAGGACCAGACTCGCGCTCGGCCGTGTACCAAGAGCTGATAGTGACTGCAGATGAACTCAATACTTTCTACTCATGTATTTAGTGCTTCTGGCAAGCAAACAAGGCCTATCATTTTCCAATGACCACAGTCAAAACAGTTTTATGTGCTAAAACAAAATCTACCCATATACAACCATGAAGGATGTCCTAATGAACTCATTCATTTCCATTTCTCCCCATACACAACCACGAACGATGGGAGCAATGACAATCAAAGCAATAACTCCTGTTTAGAATCACGCGTGGCTTTTCAACGTTAACATTTGGCTTTTAGTTCAAACCACACCGCCCAAGTAGTGTACTATTTACAGTTACGGCCTCAAGAAAATCAATCTGCAACTACTAGTTCAGGTTATCTACACACTTTTTTTGCAGATGTAAATTGGTAAGCCATGTGCTCCTGAAGGATCAATCAGGATCATCATCAATTATACTTGCAAGTCAAATGAGAGCATCATCACCACGTAGCCCATCCAAAATTGTTAGGCTCTAAAAAACAAGTTAGAGAATCATGCAACACTAATAATAAATAAAATATTTGTCCCAGAATGAAATAATACTCTGTAATAAATTTAGGCTACTCTGTGATCTATTTTCATATACCGGAATCATTACTCATCTCACAATCATAAGCATCATCATAAATAATGATGGGATGGAAAAGAAAGAGAAGAAGAAATGCAGGCAGGCTAAAGAACCTGGGAAGGAAAACTCCAGTACCACGGCGATGAAAATTATTGTTCCCCCAAATTATAGGAACTGGAAGAGCCAGGAATCTATATAGACATTATTATGAATATGGAAAAATAAGACTACATAGAGAAGTGCAATTATTGAAATCAAAGCTTAGATGAACAATGGATGCAAATAGAAGCTAATTAAGGAACCTGGGTATGAAATACACAGCATCATATGGTCCAGGGAAAATGCCGAAGCCACTCACGCCATAATATGGGAATACAGCATGACTGGATAGGCAACAAAAAATAAAAAATAACAATAAACACTAAAATTCATGATGTACTAAATGCTAAAGAGGAGATGATTCTTTGTGAGTAGCTAGAGACTTCATATGCAACCACAATTGTTTACGTATGAAGAGTGGTCTGCAAATAAAGAAAGGAAGAAGAAGGTGAAAGTTAAAGAATCTGGCAAAGAGAAGTCCAGTAGCGTGTCCATGAAAATTGTACTTTTCCCAAATCACAGGAAATGTAGGAGGAATGCATCTACATGATAATGCAGATGATATTGGAGTATCATAAATGTATGTAATAGTAATATCAGTCTATACCATGAGTACCAAAGTATGGGCTGCCTGTATGCTCAATAATTAAGGAGAAAATGGAGTAAAATTACTGGCAGTGTCATCTAAATGAAAAATGGATGCAAAGAAACCTAGCAATGCTTGGGAAGAGGTGCAAATTGAGAAGTACAAGGATTGAAAGGGTCAGTTTGTACAGGGAAGCAAACATAAGGGTCATATTTGTATCTTCCCTGAGAAATAATACACATCAGTTCCCCCGAAAATGGCGTGGCCATTTTACCCACTTAACTATCAATGCAACATCTATAATAATGACTGCCACTCACCTATAAAAAGTGAACTACAGTTTTTTAAAAGAAAGGAAAACTAAGGAACCTGGGAAGGAAATTTATAGTATGAAGTCCACGAGAGTTGTTCATCCCCCTAATGCCAGGAAATGGCAGAGCCAGGTATCTGCATGTGTAGACAGCAATACAACAATATAAATGACCACATTAAGAGTGAAAGACACTAGCATTCTTTGTCTGATCTTTGGAAGTAATTGAAGGAAGTGTCGGTTTAGATATATGTCATAGTAGAGTTGGATCACGATAAAGCTCAAGTTAAAGAAAGCAATCTCAGATTTGATTTGACAGCAAGAAACGTAACTCATTTGTGGTTGAATTAAAAGCACAATCTAAAAGTACGACAAAAATGGAATTATGAAGATTGCCTCTGGATATAAACGATTAACAAGGTAACTATTTGATTACCCTAGCACATAAACAGGCAGTAGGTGGTGACACTGCCTACATTGGATATATCCATACCAGTAAACAGCAGCGGGACTATGCCAAACATCTTCAAATCTGTATTCAGTTTATAGAAAAGATTAAAAGTAACTTATTAGTGTTGCATTCCTGACTTAAATGAAAACAACTCCACTGAACAAGAAAGGATAATTCATAAGATGCAAAGTTCATAAGCGCAGGTTTCAAACATTAAGCTCAGTGTGTTGGTTTCGGTTTCTTACGTTCTGAGAAAATCTGAACTTCATAGAAAACTAATACCTCAAGTAGCAACATACTGGTAAAACAGCCTATGATTAGTTTACCTTGACAGATAAGTGGAGGTCCTAGAGGATGATTCTATGGCAGAAGAGTCAATATACTTCATCACAACCTGTTTGATTTCCTCGACCAGATACTCAAAGTTCTTATATTGTGAGTGATAATCGCTGCCTCCATTCTCAACATAGTCATGAACTCTGCACACCACCAAAGCTTTCCATCACTTGGCATCCATATGTAATACAAAAAAGATTGTACGAAAAGTATCTAATTGATTGTTTTTCAACCAGGAAATTAATGGAAAGAACTCACTTCAGTTTAAGTTCATAAAGTGTTCTGTCACCATGCCTCATTGCAACAACCCGAACTTTATGATCCTCTACAAGACATAGAACTTTCACTCTGTTCGAGCCACCATCTGGATTTGAGTTTGAATACATAAATGCATACTGGCACTCGAAGATGTTCCAATTTTCAATGCCTACCTCATCTGAACAGAATATGAAGGGGGAAACATGCAGCAGATTACTCTAAATTCATGTGCTTGCATCACTGCACTCATATATCTTCAAATTTCAGAAAAGTAAAAAAACCTTCTAAATGATAATCAGACACCAGAACATGATAATCCACAACATTAATTACTTAAAATCTATCATCGGAAAAGCCAAACGCGAAAATCATAAGCAGTTCCATTCCATCAAAAGCAAAATCGGGAAAGCAACATCACATAAACCCTACACACGCGGAATAGAGCATGAAATCCGTTAAAAATCCACTATTCTGAAATCTAAATAGCTTAATATGCACGAAGAAGCTTCAATTTGCGCCTTACATGTTAGGAGAGAGGATTAATTACCGGTGGTTGAAGGTGAGGCGAAAGTGTCGAGGTCGAAAGCAGGGGCGCCGGTGGCGTTAAGGTAGAATCCGGAAGCGAAGAAGGTGGCGTGAACGGCGAAGACGACCTTGTCCGCCGCATTGCGAAATGTCGGCCTCCATGCTTTTATCGCCGCCATGGCGGATACGGCGTCTGCGATCACCACCATACTTGTTTTCGGAATTGAGAGTATAATTTCGCGAAACGGCTATGGAGTCTAACAGCTCGAGTACGAACAGAAAGAAGGCATCGGCTCCCGGAATATACTCTGCTGGTTTGTTGCATGGAATTGGGCGCGAAAATGAGTTCCGCGAGGTGGATCCAACGGCGTCGTTTGCCGAACCATATTTTCAGGCGTTGGTAACGGTCTCCTGTAAATAAGGGAATTTGCCATCGTCTTGTCCGAATTACTCTTACGGCCAGCTCAGCTAACCTTTTTTATTTGGAGTATTTGTCAACCTTCTATTTCCATCATCTCCTATAGAGCCAAAATTTCACCATTTTTTAGTTTTGAGGTGTAATGGAATAAATCAAAATGAATCTCTAAACTGTCTGCGCTTCTTTAATTAATGAAGTAGCAGTTAATCAAGCAATGCAACTTTCGACATTGAGCCGGGGGTCTCTTTGGAAACAATCTCTCTACTTTCAAGTAGGGGCAAGGTCTGCGTACACACACCTTCCCCAGACCCTACTCTTGTGTGATTTAACTGGGTTGTTGTTGTTATTGTATTTGTCAACCTTCTAACAAAATTAAGTTGAGTAGTATTACTTTTGTATTAGTACCTTTCTTCCTAGTTGTTTAATTTAATTTTTTGAAGTCAAAATTAATAACTTTTTTATTTTCAATTATGTATAAACTATATTAGATGTAGATGAAAAATAGTTTTATAAGATTTATATTGTAAAATAATTTTAAAACATTATTTTATTTAATTAATATACCATGTAAGTAGAGTCAGTAGTAATAGACTTAATAGTACTCAAAAATTAATATACCATGCAAATTTTATCAAGTTATACATCAAAGACTGATTTTAATATACGATGTAAGTAAAATATATTCTATCTCGCCACAAAACATTTGCTTATTTCTCTCATCTATAAGTGCATTATATACATCATACACCTTATGTGCACCAAAGAATTTATGGAAAGTAAAAGAAAAGTAGCAAAAGTGGAAGAGGGGAAAATGTGATCTAAAAATAATCTCATTTTTCATGATCAAGAAAAATAATCTCACTTTTTCTCATGTGTGTGAGTTTTGGGTTGTTGTTAGGATGCTAACAGTTAGTTAACGGATTTTTTTGAAAAATACTTTTTTTGCCAAAATTGGAAAGTGAGATTTTTTTTAGATAAATTCACTTTTTTAAAAATTTTAAAATTAATTTTTTTTTAAAAAATATTTTTATGAATAGTACCAAATTTAAGTCATTTTTCAGAGTGACACTAATTATTTTTTTAATAATCGATAATCTAGATTTTTTCAAAAATAATACGGAGTATTACAAAAGTTGTAAAATTGCACAATAAATTATTCACTAAAATGGAAATAATTTATTATTGAAAAAACAATAATTAGTCTCACTCTAAAAAAATACTTACTTCTAATTGTTTTTTGATAATATACTATTATTTTATTTTTAAATGGCATTGCGAAACTTGTGAAGTTTTTTCAATAATTCACTATAAGTTTTTTCCAAAATAAGATTACAGCAGTTATGGAAATGACCCAATAAATTTTTCTTTGAAATTAAACTATTAGTTTTATAACTCATTTGGTAATTCACCACAATTGTTTTTCACAAAATAACAAATCAAAAATTGCGAAAATGACACAATAATTTTTTTCTCAAAACATGGCACTAAATATTTTATAACTCACTATAACTTTTTGTATTACTATCTCCTTTTCGAGTGATACTCTAAATTAATATTTGACAATCCACTATTATATTTCTCTCAAAATAGAATGCAAAATTTGTAAATCGTTATATTTTTTTAAAAAATTGAGATAAATCTCTAACAAGAGGGTTCTGTTATATTTTTGAAAACATAAATTTTAAATTAAAAATTAAAAAACAAAAAATAATGAATTTACCTAAAATAATCTCACCTTTCATTTATTTGCGAAAAATAGGTATTTTCCAAAAGTTTCATTAAGTGACCGTTAAGTTCTTAACAATGACCCAAAACTTGAACGTATGGTTATTTCCCGGGAAAATCACTCTAAATAGGAGTAAAAATTAAAAAAAAACCAAAAGAGGAGTTTCATATTTTTATTCCCTAAATAACAGTTGACATTGTAATAATGTGGCATCGTACATCTGCATTATACAACACTTTTTGGTAATGCACATGGTCATGATTTGTAATGTAAATGAATTTTAACTTCAATCTCAGGAATAAAAACACAGAAATCCTATTTTGGTGTAAATTTAATACTCTCTCCGTCCCATGAAACCTTTCTCCTTTCTTTTTTTATCTGTCCCACAAAACACTTCTCATTTCTATTAAAAAGTCACTTTTACCCCTTACTTTTTCATACCATAACTATCACATCATACCTTTTTACTAATAATCTATCCATCAAATCATACTTTTACCCATCACATTAAAGGACATTTTTGGAAATTCAATACCAAAATACACTCCCCTTGAATCCCTCCTAAAAAGCAAAAGTCCCATGTTTCATGGGACGGAGGAAGTATTTTACTCCTACTTTGGTCTTTTTCTCTATTCCCCATGACAGTGAAAAGTGAGATTATTTTTGGAAAAGAGTGAAATGGTTTGATGATTTATGATAATTTCTAAAAATTACTTATCTCTCATTTTGAAAAAAGTACTCCGTATAAGTTATTATAATGTTAAAGTATATAAAAATGTGTTCTAGGTTACAATTACAAGCTTGAGCTTTTGATTGAGTTAATTCTTTGATAAATAATACTCGGTATTATTTTCTTGTTATTATGGGAATTACTTGAGTTAGAATATATTACATTTTTTGTTATTTCATACTAGTATTATTTAATAAAAAATATTTTCATGTCCGAGCACAAACCTTATGTCCGCATGTATTTGTGTTGATGCATGTACAATTGAGATACACTTTTTAATTTACCTAAAAGTACGTGTAGTGTATACACAATATATAAATAGGAAAATGCTAAAAACCCCTCACCCTTGCTACCACCCATGCCCCCCTACATATACATGTGGTAGGGAGGCAAGAAAATTAAAATTAGAGGGTGGGTGGAGAATAAGTAGAGATAAATATGTGGTAGAGAAGTGAGTGGAGGCAAGGTTGGTAGCAAGGGTGAGGGGTGTGTAGCATGGTCCATATAAATAATGCTTTATTGCTTGAATGATTTGGAGGAATACCATATTTGATTGAACATGTAAATATTTGACCATGTAAATAGTGAACAGACCCTTTATTGTACGATGGACGAATAGAGTATATAGGTGAGTTGGAGTATTTTAGAATTCTCCATATTAATAGCTTGATAAATACGGAAATAACCATAATTATAAGATATAATATTAAATATATTAAATGATTAATATATTTAACAACCATAATTAAATAAGGGATTTCGTAATCACACGCCACTTCCCAATGGATTTTGTAATTAGGGACGGAGGGAGTACACTTCTTTATGTACTTTTAAATAGTATTCCTTTTGTCCCAAATTATTTACAACGTTTGCTTTTTAAGCAATCACGGGAACTTTTGTCTATTTCTACGTTTCCATTGGTTATTTGATAAAATAAAATATTCTTGACACCTCTTATTTCGAAAAACTTTTCATATAGTTTTTTATATGTAAATTTTATTTTTTATTTCTATACCAATATGTAAATAAAATAAATTGAAAAAACTTGATATTTTATTTCGGGAATATAAATGTGACAAATATTTAGAGACGGAGAGAGTATAATTTATACTCCCTCCGTCGCAGAAAGAATGCCACGGTTACTATTCTGGCATCTCGATAACTTTTGTTTATTTATTCGTTTTGGTTGATCATTTGATAAAATAAAATATTCTCATCACATCTTATTTTGTAGAACTTTTCATATACTTTTAAATGGTGTAATTTTTATATTTTACTTCGTACTCCCTCCGTCCGGGAATAAGCTTCCTACTTTGACTTTTCCTCATTTTTAGTGGAGGCTTGAATAAGGCATGAAATGCCTAAATTACCCTTAATGAAGAAAAAAAAGAAAGAACAAAAATAAGGGGCCGAACACATTCAAAGCAAGCAAAGTACACCAACAACTACACTATTTCAATCATTATCATACATCAAATCCATGATTACATAACAAAATTTAGGCATTCCCTCCAAATTTTTTTGGAATGCCGCCCAATACTTCCTCCAAATACATCAATTTTGAATCCATTTGCAGGCTATTTAACCCCCTCCCCAAGATTATTACAGTAACACCCAGCACTACTCCCCTTTCTTCTCCATCTTTGTCTTCCTAATCTTTTCAACAATCCTTTCACATTCAGCTTTATTCCTCTTCCTTTTTTCATCTCGATGTCCAGGCGGCCTGCATATAACACCAAAAAATTAGACAATGTAACACGACAGGTTATAAGCGAGGTGTTACTGTCACATTCAAACGAAAACCCCGATGGTTCTTACTCAGCTCAGTATGGACAGATCAAGAACGTTGCAGCACAATTTAAAGTGTCTACAAGAACAGTCAGTAGCATATGGGCCATTGCAAAGAAACAATTAGAGCTGAGCATTACCATTGATGTCAGGAATAGAATGGCTGGAAAAAGTGGCAGAAAAAGGGCTGTCATGGATGTAAAGGCTATAACAGACACTCCCCTGAGGCGGAGGACTACTATAAGATCACTTGCAGCTTCCATCCATAAGCCTAAGTCTACTGTGCATGAGTGGATTAAAAAAGGTATGCTTAGGAGCCATTCTAATGCTATTAAATTGTACCTTTTAGATGCTAATAAAATTTCAAGGTTGAGGTTCTGTCTAGATCGGGTTGACCCATATACCATGCCAATGCACCCTAGGTTTAAGACTTTTGAGAATGTTTTACACATTGATGAGAAATGGTTCTTTATGTCCAAAACGTCTCAAAAGTTTTACCTTCTCCCTGATGAACTGGACCCATATAGGGCTTGTAAATCAAAAAGGTTCATTGCTAAAGTAATGTTTCTCTGTGTGGTTGGGAAACCACTGTTTGGGGAAAATCAAGAAGTGTTATGGGATGGCAAGATTGGCATTTTCAGTTTCACAGAAAATTTAAGAGCCAAAAGGAAGAGCAAGAATAGGCCAAAAGGAGTTTTGGAGGTTAAACCAATTACCAGTGTTACTAAAGAAGTAACAAAGGACATGTTGATAAACCCTGTTATTCCAGCAATCCATGAAAAATGGCCAACACAGCTGTCAAAAGACATACATATTCAGCAAGATAATGCAAGGCCACATATTCAAGGAGTGGACTGTGACTTTATGGCAGCAGCAAACAGAAATGGGCTTCACATAACTCTAAACAATCAACCCCCCAACTCTCCAGACTTAAATGTGCTAGATCTTGGGTTCTTTAGAGCCATCCAGTCCTTAAAGGATCAGTGTGCTCCAACTACTGTGGTTGAGTTGGTAGAGGCTGTTGAGGGAGCATATAATGCCCTGAGTTCAGAATGTCTAAACAAGGTTTGGTTGTCTTACCAGCAAGTAATGACTAAAGTAATGGAACATGAAGGCAACAACAACTACAAATTGCCACATATGAGGAAGGACAGACTAGCCAGAGAAGGGAATCTGCCAAAATGTTTGAACATAGACCAAGCCTTAATTGAAAAGGCAGCAACACTGGTTGGAGATCAGATGTTTACAACTAATGAAGAGATGGTTGAGTTCAACACTGAAGATGCAGATGAGTACTTATCTTCAGACATGAACTGAACACACACTTCAAGGGCACTGTTTTTTTGGATTGTGGTTACCAAAGTGGGTTTTTGTAACTGCTTACCATGTTTTGGTTACCATGTTTTGGAAGCAAGATGTTCAGAATATCGATGTGGAGATCCATGCGTGAGTTTATTGCCTGTGTAGGCTCAATCTCACTTTTTTCGCACCAATCAGCATCATCAATATCACCGTCTAGAACAACAAAGTTAGGCTCCTCCCTCCCATGAAGAAAAACAGTGTCTTTCTGAGATTCAAGAAGGACAACGTCCTTCCTCTCTCTGACCGGGGCAACATCGGCCATATCGTCGTCGCTGGCGATGACGATGACCTCGTCCTCCACCTTGTCAGAGATGAAATCCCCATCATCAACTCCAATATCCTCAAATTGTGTCTCCGAGATAATGGATTCGAAGCGCAAATCGTACGAATCCATTGCAGATCTAGGAGACGAAGCAGTTGAGTTTAGAGATAGAGAAAATGAAGAGTTCAGATCGGAAGATCTGAAGGGTTTGAGGAGGATTTGGAGACTTGTGATCGGATAAGATAGGGAGAGGGGAGGAGTGAATGAGGACCATTGAGTTTGCCGATACATTCAATGAGGGGGAGGGGTGTAGTTAGGAATAATGGGTGAGATTTAATGAGAGGGGTATTTTTGGAAGAGAGGGTATGAAAACATAGAGTAGGAAGATTTTTTTCGGACGGGAAAAAAGGTAGAGTAGGAAGATTATTCTTGGACGGAGGGAGTATTACTCTACCAATTTGAAAATATAATGATTTTAAAAGAGATGATATTTTGCACGTCGTACAAAATGTTGCAAATAATTTGAGACGGAGGGAGTAGCTTTTATTTGTATACTAATTGATATTTTAAATAAGAAAAATGCTAGGGGTACACCAAAGGTGTACCCCATTTGTCCTCCACCTCCTCCATCACCACGAAAAAAGGCAAGAAAATAAAAAAAATTAAATAAATAAAAATAAAATAAAATTGAATGGTGGAGAAAGGGGTGGGGGACAAATAGGGTACACCAAATGGTGTACCCCTGGCATTCCTCTTTAAATAATTTTTAAAAATAATGAGATTTTAGACATTGTTTAGAGTGTGTTATCAAATATGAGATGGGGAGAGTAATTATGATATTGACAGTGACTCTACTCTACGTTAGTCACTTCGTTACAGTCAGTGTAATACATGCCAACGTCACCATGACCATTTGCTTTTCCTGAAGACTTACGTCAACCTCTTTGTGTACTCCCAATGTATGCTTCTGCCCAATATACCTGCACTATATACGGAGTATTTTCTCAAATTTATTTTGTCAGCTTTATACGTATTCATTTTCCTTTTTTGAAATTTTACTGGACCATGCTACATTTAAGTAAAAAATTGTACCTCATTTCTACAGTGTAGTTATACAGAAATGTTTTGATGGTTTACACCGACGCAAATGTTGGTACATTAACAACAATTTATATGGACACAAAGTGTTGGTGCGTTAAAAAAAATTAGTTTTCCACCAACACAAAATGTTGGTGTAAACCTGCGGGGTACAAAAGGTTGGGGTACAAGTAGCTTTATCCAATTTTATTAGTAATTCCCTTTTAGATTTCCTATATTTCATTTTACTCTACAAAACTGTTTTTTTTTTCTCAATGAAAAAATGTACACTTTGTTTGGATAATGTGAAATTGGTAAGAATGAAAAAAATAGGAGAGAAAACACAAATATTAAGAAATTTTCTCATGAGAAATTTTCTATACCCTTCGTCCTTATGAGATATTTTGATTTTTAAATAATTTAAAAGGAGTGTATTTTGGTATTTAGTTTCTAAAAATGTCATGTGATGGGTAAATATAGGGTTTGATAGGTTGATTAATAGCGAATAAATGTAATGTGATAGGTATGTTATAAACTCTTAGGGATAAAATTGATTTTTTAATATAAATGAGATTTTTTTTTGAAACGAATGAAAACAGAAAGAGGAAATTTTCAGAGACGGATGAAGTATTAAACAACCACTTTTATGTCTACTAATACTTACCATATTTATCACATCATATTTATTCACCAATAATCTATTTATCATATTTTATTTTTACCAATTAACATTTTTTTTATTCTGACACATTCATTTTTATTGAAATAGAGCATCTCCAACGGTTATTGTAATTTTTCATAGTGTATATTGTGTTTACACCACCAAATGTGTTTTAGTAATCCATCTTTTCATAGCTACTCCAACCATATCTTTTTATACTCTCTCTGTTTCTAATTTGATTACAAATTGGGGGTTACAAGCTAAGAAAAAAGTTCTTACTTTTTGAAATCATTTTATTTACAAATCGATGTATCAATAAGAAATAAATTTACAAACAGAGTACTAAAAAACTACGTTAAAATTCTACAAAATAAGAGGTGACAAAAATATTTTAATTTATCAAATGTTAAATGAAATCGCGTAAACAAACAAAAGTTATCAAGAAGAGAGAAAAAAATTGTATTTTTTATGGCAGTGTTTGGTTATAGTGAGCTTCCAATTCTTATTTATGGTAGATGCTATATTTTATTTAGTTTTCATTCTCCCTTTATAGTTGTATTAAGAATCTCACATATATATTATGTCATGTATTCCATAATTTAATAAACAATACTCTATATTATTATTTCAATATTGGGGAAAATGCACCACAGCCCCCTATGGTTTCAAAAAGAAGCTCCAACACCCCTCGTGTTTTTAAAAATATTATAATATACCTCTGGTTTGTTATTTAATGAAACAGAGTAGCCAAATTCATTCCGAATAATTAATTAAGGAAACGGAGTAGCCGACTCCGTCCCACTATTATTTTTTTAAATCATTTTTTTTCTTAATTTCTCAACTTCGTTCCTCTATTTTTTTTTAAATCAATTTTTTATTTATTTCTCATAATAAAATTCATAAATAAAATAATTATTTATTGACTTTAAATAATGCACCATACACCGAAATTAAAATAAGAAGCACGGTAAATCACAATAAATTTATTGATAGAGTATATAATTTATTCATTCATAAAAATAAGGTTACAAAACACATGTCATAACTAATTTATTTTGTGAAATTCATAAAACATAAACTTAGACATAATTGAAATCCATGATATAGCTATTGTTCATTTCGACGTCGTCGTGGTCGGTAGTCCATGTTATTCGGATAACGAGTTCTTGTAGGTCGATCAGTTTGTGTCCTTGCTCGTGCAGTTGGTCTCACTATCTCGTATCCTGGAGTAGGCCATTCGGCCTCATCGGGAAGCATCATTATGATGTCCGAATAAGCGTTGATGACTTGATGTAGGATTGGATTGAGAAAACATTAGAAATTAAATTATCCACGGTGACACTACATTGATGGGGTGCATATCGAATAACCGCCAATTCTCATCGGATGGGATGCATGTGCACCCTTTACAAACAAGAAGTATATTATAAGTTACTTTTAAAACCACGAAGGATGTTGGAGCTTCTTTTTGAAACCATAGGGAGCTATGGTGCATTTTCCTCTTTCAATATTTCGACATGTTTTCTCGCCTTCAAAGGCATTTTCCTCTTTCAATATTTCGACATGTTTTCTCGCCTTCAAAGGCTTCAATTCTCTTTCATCTGTTTTTCCATATATCCAAACAAACACTGATTATATTAAAATTGTGGATGAGAGAGATGACTTCATTAATTAACATTTGCACAAATATCTCAAGACTTGAGGTGACAAATTTGGTTAGTGGTACCGTCGTAATTGTCACTCCCCAACTGTACGCAATTCGAATGCCAAATTCGGACTTTGGATCGCTGTGATAAAAATTGAACTTTTTAGATACTCTCCCCGAACAATTTGGTTCTTTCCATCACACATTATAAGTTTTGACATACTCCATATTTTATTTTCAGTTTAATATTTTTAATTATAAATGTAAAATTTAAAAATATAAATTATATTTTTAAAAAAAGAAAATTATTTCAAATAATCTCATTTTTTGCGTTCTTTCAAAAATAATTCACTTTTAATTGTCACGAAAAATAATCACATTTTTCCATAATGTGCGAGTTTGGGGTCGTCGTTAGGATGCTAACAGTTACCTAACAAAATTATTTGAAAATACTTGTTTTTTTGAAAATAAATGAAAGGGTGAGATTATTTTGGGTAAATTTCACCAATGATACCTGAACTTTAGCTGAAATTTCGAAGTGTACCTAAACTTCAAATCCTTTCAAAAAAATCCCTCAACTTACATAATTCTTTCACTAATAGTCTATTAGCTCGTTTCTAGGTCAACTTCCGGTCATTTGGGCCAAATTTGAATTTTATATATTTTAAAATTTTCAATTTGACCCCATTGAGGGATTTTTTTGAAAGGATTTGAAGTTTAGGTACCACTTCGAAATTCCAGCTAAATTTCAGGTACCAATGGTGAAATTTACCCGATTATTTTAGATAATTTCTTCTTTTTTAAAAATTTTTTAGTTTCTAACTTTAAATTTAAATATATTTTTTTAAAAATGTTTTTATAAATAATACCAAATTTAAGTTTTTTTAGAGTGAAACTAATTATTTTTTTTCAATAATCAATAATATGGTAATAATTATTTTTTCCAAATAATGTTTCAAAAGTTAGGAAATGATACAAAAAATTATTCTACTTAACGGAACTAATTGATTTACTTCATAACTCACTATATTTTTTGTAAGTTTTAATTATTTTCTTAAGCGGCACTTCGAATTATTCTTTGATACTATACTCTACTATTATTATTTTTTTTAAAAATGACCTTTAAAATTTGTGATTTTTTTGATAATTATGTATAAATTGTTTTTTCAAAACAACATTACTACAGTTGTGAAAATAACACAATAATTTTTTTCATTATTGTGATTTTTGGGAGATTGATTTCAAACATATTTTGAATTTTGGAAAATTGATTTCGTAATTTAACTTTTTAATTATATCCTTAGGGATGATGTAACTTAATCAGGTTGGTTCACTATGTTGGGTCGGGTCTAGGGATGACAATGAGTTGGATTTTGGTCAGGTGAAGTTTCACCCTCAACCATCCATCAATTTTATATTCATCATCAAGTCTGTCCATCATCCATTACATACATTACCCATCATCCGATCCATACATCATCTACGGATGAAACAGATGATATAAGTAATAGTTTTAAAATCATTAATCTCATTAAACGAAAGACTTATGAAACGTAGAAACC